ATAATTTATTGTGTTATTTAAAAAATACTAAATTTAATTTAAAATTCCAGGCAAATTTGCCTGGAAAACAGTTTAAGGGATAAGTTAATTTTAGAGAATTGCTATTTCTATTTTCTATTTTTGTTAATATCACTTTTCTAAATACAAAAAAAATGCTCTAAAAGAGATATAATTATTAAATAAACCTCTTTTTAATATTAATTAAAGTTATTTATTAAATTTTTTTGGTTTTAATGATAGTAAAATCATTAAGGTTAGACTAATGGCTTTTAAAATATTTATATTTAAATTTTATAATTTTTAATCCATTTTTTTAAAAAAACTACTGGTCTAATTTTAATAATTTTACAACTATTAAAACCAAAAAGGTCTAATAAATAACTTTAATTAATATTAAAAAAAAGATATATTTAATAATAATATCTTTTTCAAAATATTTTTATGTATTTTAAAAGGTGATATTAGCAAAAATAGAAGATGAAAATAGCAACACTCTAATTTTATTATATAATTTTATATTCTAATATTTAAAAATTCATATCTTAAAGGGTGTGATGACCTAGTGAAATGGTCAGGTTGTTAATCCTCCAAATGGTAGATTGGGTGTTCAAATTCTATTGACAGTGAAAATTTGAATAATCATCTATATAATATTTGTATTATGGCAACTGTTACTAATGATTAGGTTAGGATATTTGTAATGGCAATTATACCAACATGACTGACAGATCATAGAGCATCTGTGTAAGTATGGCATTACACAGAGGAATGCAAACTGACAAATCAAGTGATGCAAACACTAGATAAGTCCTTGTAACTGTATAAATCCATTGAAATTGGATAACAAGAAGTTCATTTGGTAAGATCTAAGTAGAAAAGTAGCTGAATCTTTAATGACTCTACTGTAAAGGCTAGCCTGAAAAAACAAATACTAAGGTCGTAATACTTGGTCATAGTAGCTGAACAGGCAAGAACCTCTGGGTTGTGAGTCTCAGAGGTATTACCAACTAGGTTGCTAGAACAAACTGAAGAAAAAGGATATTGGGCTGACCCAATATATTAATGAACTGGTTGTAGTCCTACATAAACTATCTGAATTAGAAGTTTGGTAAAAAGACAAATAAAAAGGCAAATAAAAAGGCAGAGGTATACTAAAGTACTAAAGTTATACTGTGAAGTAGATGCTGAAGTCTATGTGAACTTTATAAGATCATAGCAGTTTAATGATTAGCCCTGACCACAAGTATTAGTTTTGCTATAATAATACCTAGATTAGCTATAAAAATGGGTACAGAAGGCTCTAGAGGGTTTACCTTAAGGATAAATTAGTCCTAAGGTTGAGATGATGACCTGGATATCTGAGTATGACCCAGTGATATTAACACAGGTTACAGGTTCAAAGTGTTTAAAGTGGAATACCCAAACAGGGGTGTTAGATATGGCAATTGGTGGAAAACCTTCAGGCAGACTTCTTAAATAAGTAATATAGAAAAGTTATATATGTAACCAATTGTATACTCTTCTGTAATAGTTTATTAAACTATAATACTAATAAATAATTAATAAAAGTCAAAAAACTAAAAAGGTCACCTTAATATCAAAAAAAAAAAATTTCATATCTTAATAAGTTTTTAATTAATTTTAATAATTTTACTATTATTAGAATTAGAAAAACCTATTTTATAACTTTTATTTAATAATTTAAATTAGTTTACTTAATATAATTTTTTATAAAATTAAATATAAAAAAAATTATCATTAAGTTTATATATAATTTTAAAATAGTATACTCTACCCTTAACTAAAAACAAAAAATTATATATAACTAGTTGTACTTTTATCTTTATAAAGAATAGTTGTATTAAACTTTTAAACAAAAGAAAAATTAATAATTTTGTATTATTAAAATTTTTTTTTTTGGTGTTAAAGTGAGGCCTTGCTCAGTATTATTAAAATTTTTAAATTAATTTTTATATAAATATATATTTTTTTATAATTTAAATTATTATAATAGGATGTAGGTCCCATAGCTTAATAGTTAAGCTTCCATACCCCATAATCAAGGTCAACAATTCAAGTTCAGCTGGAGGCAAAATCGAAAGATTTTAGCTTTTGTAACCTATAAAGAGCCTATAATTGAACATGAAGCTCTATAATTAAGTCTAAGTGCAATATATAATGAAAAAAGGAATTCTCAGAAGAAAACTGACTTTGCTAAGTATAGGCACTATGTGTAATAGCAGTGTCACAAAAGGTTCTATTACATAAAGGTTTGCATATGTAAGTTCTCTAGAGACAAGGCAGTACCAACATCTCTGCATCCAACTTGTAGAATACTTGATTAGAAGGGTGATACTAAAATAATATGAACTAGAGTAGTAAAAGAAGCAGTATATGCATAGAAGGTTTGTGACAAAGGATTAGTCTTATTAAGATTAGAAGCACCTCTGGCACTATAGAATGTCTAAGAATAGAAGGTAATCATCTGTATAGAGAAGTTGTAGTCTGTCCTGTATATCTAAAGATTCCAAACTAGAACTCTGATCACATCTATATGGAAACCTATAACAAAACAAATGGAATATACCAACATAAATACCATACTAATCATAATTAAGATACCTAAATTGGAAGTTAAACTTTGTATCAGTAGTAGAAATACTAGTTTATAGCTGAAAAAGAATATGTATCCATTTCTGAAATAGAGTTCTATCTATATCATAAAAAAGAGTACTTAAGAGGCAGATTAGATACACAATCTATTAGACATGATGCTAAGACTAAGAAGAGTTGCAAACCAGCAGTAGTAGTAGGAACCTAACTTGAGATACATGCTACTAGTACCTGAATTGAGAAGTTAGCAATGATAACAGAAATCTAACTTGAGATACATGCTAGAGAGGCACTCTTTGAACAAACCAAAAATAGTAGCTCAAAAGGAATGAATAACCTAGTAAACCAATTTGAGAGTTATTATAGTAGGTTGTAAGACATGAGGAGAATATGTAGATTATCTAATATAATTAGTAATAAAACAAAAACCTAGATTAGATGTGAATAGGACACAATACAGAACTCTGATAGATTTAAGTCACAGATAAATATGTCTGAGTCCTATGTCTAAATAAATATATAGTGATAGATGATATATAAAATAGATTTGTACTAGCTATGATAAATATACTAATAAAGACTAAAGAGCATAATTTTATCTTAATATCAAAAAAAAAAAAATTTATTATAATAGATAGGAGTATGATAACCTAATAAAATGAATAAGTTGTCAACTCTTAAGTAGTAGATCTAAGATTCAATTCTTATGAATAATAAATTTTGAAAATTATATCTATGTTATGATAACTGTCTTTTATTAATCAGTTAGATTTTGAATATTTGTAATCTTAGATATACCAAGTTAAATCTTATCTGATATTGAGAACTTGGAACATTTATTCAAAATGTAATATTATACATATATAAAAGAATATAAAAACCTAGTATCATATAAGACTTTGGTACAAACCTATAATAAGATACTGAATATAAAAGACTAAGAAACTAAAAAAATAAACACTTATTTAAAAATTCTAAATAAAAAGATAATACAAACTTTTAATAATATCATTGGATCAATAGAAGTCTATGAAACACCTTCATAGAAATTGTCAAATAAACTGAATAACAAGATATATAAAGAAGTATATGATCAATTAGGCTATTAGAATCACTAAAAAAAAAAATAGATAAATATATTATACTAAGCTATCTAGATTGAAAATCTAAAAAGTTCATTAGTTCTAAGTTGCAACTAGTAAGAAATGATGAAAAAAAAATCAGAAAGATAAGTACCAAGATTTAAATGAATTTTATAAGAGTAATAGTCATTTAATAGATAATTCTAATTACAAATATTGATCTTAACTATAATATCAAATTAGGTTAACAATAAAAGAGAATACAACTCACTTTGATAAGTTTGCTTTAAGAATAAAAATAATCTAAGAATTATAGTCTTATGATTAAAAACGAATAAATCTGGATCTGTGATCTAGTAAAATTATAAGCTACTCTAGTAAGACCATGAAAGATCATTGTATATGCACCAATTAGATCTTTTCAAATAATCAAAAAAACTTTAATATGCATAATATTTTAAAGTACTAAAACCTTATGTTAGAGTTGGTATAGGAATTACAATAAACATGTTCTATACCAAAATTTCATGTGAAATTTTTTTTATTAAAGTGCAGAAAGTGGTTTCATAGTCAGAATTTTTAATTATCGTCTGTTTTTTTAAAAAAGCGTGATTTTCACGTTACACCTGATCTAATGATCTTATTGGTGACGATCATTCAAAAAAATCCGATTGGTGCATATACGACAATCTTTCATAATATAAAAGTTGATAAAAAAATCATAATTTGAAAAATTTTACAAGTTTTAAAGTTAAAATTGAACTTTAAGGTTAGGGTTTTTTAATTTTTACTTAGTACACCGAATACCGATTATCAAAGCCATTTTTGAGATCTCGGTGAATTTCGCCTCTGGTGAGCGTTAAAATCGTTCTTAAATTAAAATCAAAATCAAATTTTTAGTTCAAATTAAATGAGAAATTTTACAAATACCTAATTGTTTAGTTTATAAATTAGATATTAGCAAGCTACCTTAAGAGTACCTAGATATAACCTGTTATAAATTTACAACAATTAACCAATTAAACGATCTTTCTATGATACTTGAGAAATTATTTTTCATAATAATAAATTAAAATTAAAGCTCTAATTGTAAGAGTTGTATAGTACATTTCGTTTTAAAGGTCAGCTTTTAATTTTAGCGTTATATAGTATTTTGATTAATAAAGCATTAACATTTTTTTATTTGAAAACAATAATGCTAAATTGTTTTTATCTATAAAATATTATTTGTTAACCTGAACCTTTCCCAACGTAGATGCAACATTGGCCGCTTCCTGTACAGCTCTTGCTAATGTAGAACGAATTTTGCCATCTTCCATTGTTAGTAATCCAGCAATTGTGCATCCTGCTGGAGTTGTAACACTATCCTTGATCTCGGCCGGATGTTTACCAGTTTTAAGAACCATACGTGCTGCACCTTGAAGTGCTTTGATTGTAATTAAAGTAGTTTGTTATTTTATGATGCCAAAAATTTGTCTTTTAATATTTAATTGTTACCTTGAGCTGCTAATTCTAGAGCAACGTCACGTGGAAGTCCCATCATTACACCACCATCAGCAAGAGATTCTAACACCACACTGTCATTAATTCGAATAGTCAAAAAATTAATGAAAATAGTCAAAGACAGTCAAATTACTTATACATAAACATATTACCATGCAAAAGCTGGACCACTCCCTGATAGACCTGTAGCAGGATCCATATGCTTTTCATCCAAAACTCTCACCCTACCCAATGTAGAAAATACCCACATTGCGAAAGCTCTGTCATCAGCGTTAATATTGGCGGGACAGTTTATTACTGTCATACCTTCTTGAATCTAACCAATTTACAAGATGAATGGTAATTCGACGAGAGTGATATTTGAATAAGAAAAAAGAACAAATATAATGATTACTCAAAAAAAGACCATATTATAAAGTATAGTAATGAAATTCATATAACCATGCAAGGAGTATTCGGCATAGCGCGTATGATCTTGGATGAAGTGGGGACCCATTCTTTTAACTGAAATATCGATACTCCAGCCAAAATACTAATAATTAATTTGTTTTCTAGCGCTTCTGCCATACCAACGTCGGTTAAAATTGTTTTTGCTATTTGAGGTTTTGTACTTTTGAAAGGAAATAATGCATCAATAATTCGTATGTTTGTATGCCTAACTAAAAGCTTTATCAAGTTACCATAATAACACGACATCTGCTTCACTGACACCTTTGACATTTTGCCCAGCCACCACTGTAACTGATTCTCCAAAAAGCTTGATCGTCTTCTGAGCCGATTCGTCTCCTGATACACATGCGATGAATTTTTGTGGCTTAAACGATGTATCAGAAACTGAATAATTGTTTTTATTAACTCCGTTCATATCGTTTAAAATTCCCGTTAAAATAGCTTTGCCCATGGTGCCGCAACCAAGAATACATATTGTCGGAGTAGTGATAACCATAGTGCTATGGTTTGGAAAATGGAAAAAATGAATAAAATACGTGTCTCTAAACAATATCTCAGATTATCATAGAAGGACATGGATATTTATTTGATTGGTTGATGCTCAATTGCCCGGGTAACTTATTTATGTCTAACTTCAAAGTAACGTCAGCATATATTCACTGTGCAAAATAATCTCTAAATCATCCCACTCCTCGCATACTTTGCTTAGAAGACAAATATATTACCGTTTATTGGACCACACGAAATTATACTGTAAAGGTAACTGGAAAGAATTGGCCCAAAACTACTTTTATTGCATTAGATTTAAATAAAACTTTAGCTCTTCAATACTGTCAACTAATCTATATAATGGAAATATGGGTTGAAAAAAAAAATCTCCGTTATATGGCTTAACCATTATATTAAAAATTCGAATCTTTGCAATTTGTTCGTATAAACGTCACATTTATTTATTAGTTTTTGGGAGTTTTCTAATCTTAGAAATTATGTATTTTGATCACAAAATTAAGGGTAGGGGTGACGTAGATCATTTGTTATGATTTTCCTAGCAAATAAAAACTTTTATATAAAAAAAAAACATATTACTAATAAAACAGTATTAAATTCAATTGTTACCAAAATTTAATAGTATATAAATCTAAAATTTTTAATTATTTTAATAAAATTTTATAATGGTTACATAAAGTGTTTCAATTTTTTAAATAATTATAACTTTTTATCTAAAGGGTTTAAAAAAATTTGATTAGTAACTTTATAGAGCTATATTAACTCTATATACACAGATTGAATGAATGAATAAAGGGTAAATAATAGGTAAAAACAGAAAAAAAAAACTGTTATTATTCTACCTTATATCTACCAAATAATGACAACATAATAGCAGCATAATAGCAGAATAATAGTAAAATAATAGAAGATTTGTCAATATAAGTAATATAATAGTAACATAATAGTAAAATAATAGAACAATTTTATTATTTTATTTTTAGTTACAAAGACTAAAAATAAAATAATAGAATTGTTCTATTATTTTGCTATTATATTACTATTATATTACTCATATTGATAAATCTCTTGTTATTTTATTGTTATTTTGCTATTATGATACTGTTATGCTAGAGTAATATGCATTTTGTCAATAATCACTTTAATGACAATCTATTTCACTAACAGTCAATTCAATGACAAATTTATTTCACTGACAGTTATTTTATTGACATTTATTTTACTGACAAAATAATTCTAGTTATTTTCATTAGAATCAGTTGGAATTAGAGTTAATATTAATGCAACTTTAAAAAAACCTAATTGGTAAAATGAACTGTCAGCAATATAGTTGTCAGTAAAATAAACTATCAGTGAATTGATTGTTAGTAAAATGAGATGTTGGTAAATTGATTGTTGATAAAATGATATATACCTGTTATGCTGTCATTATTTAATAAATATAAGATAGAATAATAACAGTTTTTTTTTCTGTTATTTACCTATTATTTATCTTTTATTTATTTATTTGACCTGTAATATGTACCAAATATCTTATTATTGTAAGAAATTGATATGTTTTGAAATTGAAATTTTATATTTAAATTTATAAATTTATATATAAAATTTTAATTTTTAAAACATATTAATTCTTTACAATAATGAGTTTTTGAAAAGATATTTGGTCAGAATTGAGATAAACTCTACAAGAACATAATGGTTTAATAGTATGTCCTAATTGCCAATATTGATCTCAGTTATAGTAATACTGAATCAGTTATAAGAATAGAATACAGAAAATTCTAGAAGGTTTAGTACAAGATCAAAAATTTATCATATAAGTGAACTGCTTTAAAAACTTAATAACTATAATATATTTTCACTGACATCAACCAAGGTTATTGATAGGCAGAGATAGATGAGTAGATATGAAAACTAGAATAATTAAATAAGAAACTTACAGGCAGGTTCTAAATATAACAACTAGTATAAAACCTTCAGACAAACTACTTAAATTAGACAATAACTAAAATTGTACAAGTAATTAATTATACACTCTTTTTATAATTGCTCCCTGTAATTGTAATATAACCATTAGCTAAATATACTATTAATAAAATTCTAGGTTGCAAGTACTCACCTTAATATTTAAAAAAAAAAAAAAAAAAATATTTAACACATATGTAAAGCTAATATAGTTCTATAAAGTTACCAGTTAGATTTTTTTAAAACACTTTAAATAAAAAGTTATAACTATTTAAAAAATTGAAACACTTCATGTAACCGTTGAATATAGATTTCCTGCACCATATTACTAAGTTTTCCTGGAGTTTCCTAGGCCACACGAGATTTATATATAAAATTCGTGTAACATAAACAAAATTTTATATGTAAATCATATGATATCATATGTTTGCTATATAATTACTATTAAAAATGACCTACGTCACCCCTACCCTTAAACCAATCATGTGAATGTCTTCCATCAGCTATGTGATCATGGGATGCTTTTACAACATCTCCAGAGCCAATAAAAATTAACTGATTAGTCAACCAATTATCACACTTACTTCAACCGAATAAAGATAACCGATTGATCAGTCAATCTTTTAAACCGTCTTTTTTTTTTCCTCACCTCAATGGTATATAATGGAATTGAAAAAACCTGTTCTTATCGGCCTAGGTATTCTCGGTGCAATCGGCATTGGCTATGTCATATATTGGGATTATATGAGACAAAACAACCGAGAATTTCGAAAGAAATTGAGTAAATAACTTTTCATAATGCTATTTAAACGTGATTCCTGTGATTACGAAGAGAGCCTGCGTTTTTTATTTTAATACAAAATCAACTATTTTAATTTCAACCTTTACACGTAGAGCGTGATAGAAAGAAAGCAGAAAAACTTAGACAGGCCGCAGCCGAGGTCGCCAAAGATCGAATAACAGCTTTCATTAAAAAGGCGGTTGATGAAGTCTCTAAAGAAAGCTTCCCCACTGATGTCGCTGCTAAAGAAAAATACTTTATGGACCAAGTGTCCAACGGTGAAACTTTACTTGCTGAAGGTAGATAAGGATTCAAATATATTCTATATAGCTTTATTGAATCAAGATGAATATTTATTTTTGAATTGTTAGGTAAAGAACATCATTTGGACGCTGCTCTCTGCTTCTATAAGGCTTTAAAGGTGTATCCTAATCCTGTTGAATTGATAATGATATACCAAAAAACCGTTCCTGAAGCAGTTGTTAACGTGATTTACGAAATGATGAGTTTTGAGGTACAAAACCCTAATCCAGATTAATAGAAATATAGTAACGTTAATATACATAGGTACAGTTGTATAAAAAATAATTAGATAAATAAATGAGATCAACTTTATTTAGGTAAAGAAAAACAAGGCAGAGTATTTTGAAAATTTTCCACCGAAAGATATGAATGTTAGAGTAGGAGATATTAGCGAAAGTTCGCCTATGGGTGATATTCGCCGCGGTCTTTTTGCTACAAAGGACTTTTGGCCTGGTGACGTCATCTTTGATGAGCAACCTATAGCCTCAGCGCTTGATCCTGATCTTGAGGTATAGAAACGAAATTATCCCATGTTTTCACTATCCAAACATATGCTCCAATTAATTTATATATCGCTCGTTCCACGTGATGTTGTCCACAAAAAAAAAAAAAACACACAAACCAAACAAAAATGCTATATTACAGACTGGTGATTATTGTAGTTATTGTCTCAAAGAACTTTCCGGTGACCCAATCAGCGATGATACTGATCTATTTGAAGCAGTCTATTGTTCAAAAACATGTCATGAAAAAGCTATGAGTGAATATGCTACACTTCTTTTCACTAATCGTGATAAAACCGACACAGAAAGTAAGGAATCTCAACTTGTGCATTTGGTAAAGTCTGGAAATGTTAAATATCCATTGATGATCGCTCGATTTTTGGCTAAAATGGTTCATGAGGAAACACAAAAAGTAATCACGGGTGAAGAAGAAGAATATAGTACTTGGGATCATATTGAACGATTACGGTTTTTAAATGTACCAACTAATGACAAAGAGATTAATGAAATTAAATTGTTAAGAGAATTATTTGCTGCAAAAGTCCCTGGGATGGAAGAGTTCATATCTGACGAAAGGTATTTAATGCTTAAAGGCAAACTTATGTATAATTCATTTGGTATCAGTACCACGCGTGAAATAAGAAAAGAAAGAGAAGTATGTATCGATAATACTAAATTTCAACCCAATAATAAATGCATTTCATTCAAATTAAATCCATCATTCTTGAAATTTATAGAATAGTAAAGAAATGGTTCGCACAAGTGAATCATCAGTGATCGGCGCCGGTTTCTATCGTGTCGCTTCCTACATGGTCCACTCATGTGACCCAAATATTATGATAAAATTTCCAAATCGAAATAATGTCATATCAATTGTTGCCACTAAACCAATTAAGGCTGGTGAAGAATTAAGGACTAGTTACATTAATGTTGGTCATAGAAATTTAGAGAGTCGACGTAATGAATTGGATTCAAAATGGAGGATCCGATGTACTTGTTCCAAGTGTTTATCAGAAGAATCAACTACAGAACAATCATCTACAGAAAAAAACTAGTTTGAAAATTTTTGAAAATTATTCACTTTTCATATAATTATCTGGACTAAAAATACCCCCACTCTTTTACTATACCATTTTAGTTATGGGCGTTCATCTCATTATTCCATAGTGATAATCCAAATTTAATATAGAACAAAAGAATTAAAATTACATAGTTTACATAGTTTATGAAATACTAGAAAAATATATTTATAGTAAGACAAAAATTTAGACCCGAGGCATCATTGGTCAAATAAACGCAAAGTTCATTGGCCAATTTTTTTATTCATCGATTAGAAAATTACGGATTAGCGTGGATTGTATGCTTTTTTTTTCCAGTTACAACGCCTTGCTT